ATGATACATCACTGATCTTCAGTCATATAGAAACTGGTTGTTTCTGCAGCAACTAAACTGAACGGAGAAATAAATTTTGCATTCATTGCAATGCTAAAATGATATTGTTCTTCTTTTTTATTCCATCAAACAGTTGTATGTCTTACAGTTAAAAATTGCGAAGAATTGGAATGATAAGATCGAAGCTTTGAATTGGTAGAAAATTTGGGAGGAAAACTGAAAACATTACTGCTTGAGAGTAAATCAACAAATTTATAGGAACTGGATTAGATTAGAACAGGAAGAATAAGGTTCAGTCATTTTTTTGAATAGTCCTGTCGAAAATCGCATGGTTGTTCAAAAGATTTAGATTATGAACGGATTAATTTCTTGTGATGTTTGCTTGATTTGAAACAGAATTTATTAGCTTTTGAATTTCTAATATTATTCAGCAGAGTACGTCAAAACTATTCAATTCATACGAACATATACCACAGATATAACAAGACATCGATCCTTTCATCTCCCTATTATCAGTCGTTATTATTCTTATCAGTATAAAAGAGACTGTTAACATTAGCACTGTGTTATCAACGGATGCCCTTCCGCTTCAGTCAGCACCCGTTCTCATTTTTCGAATATACTTCGAGCCGATAGCACGAATCATCCTGAAAATCTCACCCAAATATTATTTTATCGTAAGACTTTTAGCAAAATCCAGTGATTTGTATGTAGAAACTGTCATTAACGAATCCGAATCGAAATGAATCAAATTATTTTCAAGAAACAATTCGATGGCAAAACACGAATGAATATGATTAAGGGGAATATTGAGAGGAAATAAATTATCACCTGAAAGTTATGTCCGGGCAGAGCGTAAACGAGTAAGCAAATAGCAATGGTAAAGCGGTTTTGGACAGCGATACTTCGGCAAGATGATTCGCACCGGCCACGAGGATCAGTTCAGCTGCACGCTCACAACTCATATGCTTTGCCGACTGTTCAGTGATTATTTCTTCGTTCCTCTAAAATTTCACGATCTCATCCACTGATGAATCTTTTCAAAACAGAAAAATGTAGAAGAATATCACATGGAACATATAGATGACTCTAATGAAACATTTTACACAATCTGATTAACTAGTGTCTTGCTGGCGTTCACGATCAACCAAGTTACTAGTTCAAAGGTAATCACATTAAGGCGTATCGTTTACCTTTCCCGGTATTCCCGTGAAAGCATTGAAAACATTATTGGGTGAATAGGTTAGTGATGGACATACAATTGTAGCACTAATCCTCGAGTCCGAGTACTCGAGATTCAAAAGACGGAAATAACCCTGAAATTCAGCGATGGAACATGAAACGGCAGGAAGCAAATTAATGATCAATAAGAAAAGACTATTTTGATAAACAGATGCACTTCCTTGACAACAATAGAAATGATGCGAAGCATAATGATAATACTGCGATGTCGGTTCTGGTGACTGAACGAATAATAATTTCTGTTAGTTTCGAAGAAAAATTTATTTTGGAATTCCAAAATGTTCATTTTATAAAGAATTAATGCTTTCTTTGTTCACTGAAAGCGATCTTACCATAAGTGCATGTTTTGCGGCCGTATACGATGGCGATAACGGGGCCGGAACGATACCACAAATTGAACTGATCACAATGAATTGAAGTTCTGACTTGAGGGAATGTTTCTGGTGGTGTCGAATTGCGAAACGTGACAAAACAGTTGGTCCGAGTGCATTCACTCGATAGCATTGTTCATCCACGCTTGCCTCTACTTCATGCCATTCGGCACGTTGTGATTGACCGCTACACAGCAATATTATGTCAACCTGAAATGTTCACTGAACAACATAGTGAGATTTTCCACAAAATTTAACTCAATTCGACCATTCGACGTCAGAAAAGCGTTCGCCATTCACATGCACATTCCATTTAAAACAAAAATTTTCAGGGATGAAGCGATCTACTGAAAAGAAGGCGATTCCGTACAAAATCAATTGCCAGCATGTTTCATATTAACGAGAACGAGGACTTTTGAGGATTTCAAGGACTGAATAAAACAAGCTCACATGACGATTGAAATATGAATTCGCAAGATCCACTTTCTGCTCGAATGTATCAAATTTGGTAATATCCAAAGGTAGAACGTAAATATCTTCTGCGGACAAGTGACCAAATTCTGCAATATGCGAGCCAATGAAAAGGATAAAATGTGGGAACTAGCGAGTGGATATTAGGATTTGCAAAATCATGACCATTTCGAGAATGATTGATATGTAGTTCAAGATGAATATGTAACCAAAATTATACAAAATGCTATCTTTTAAGGAATCTCGAAATCTCTGGCTTTTCAGAATGGAAATCCCAAAATTGAGATCGGAATTTAAAATTAGGGATTACTGTGCAAACATCATCGACTCTAATTGAGTGAAAACGTGACATGAAACATTCAGTTTGATTAAATTCACGTCTCAAAAGTTCTCAAGATGATAAAAATGATTACTGGTGCATGATCGTGCAACAACTTCAAGGTTGTTTTCACGTCTTGCCGAGATGATAAGACGGCACTGATAATTTGAAGCTAATCGCTTGCAGACAGCTTCACCAATTCCACTGCTCGCACCGATCACCCAGATTACTTTACCAACGAAATGCTGACCTGAAACGAATCACATGCCACTCAAATGAATGATAGTGAATCTAATTTCTTGAGACGAATGTTCCTTCCAACTAGCCAGGAACAGCTTCATTTGCAGTTGATTAATATAATTCGGTTTTATCAAGCACAGTCAGGTAGAAGCATCGCTAAACATGTAAAGATTATGAATTCCAAAGATAATCTTTTCATATGGGCAGCATAAAGCCAACAACTATTTTGTTTCTGGAAATAGTCATTGAAATTAGCCAGCTTTTAGGCAAATATTATGTATAAAAGGGAAAACTTTGAGTTTGATACCTTCAGAATAGCCGAATTTTTCACATAAGAAGAGATTCAGAGTAGAATCTGAAACGGCAAAGAATCCGATGAAGAGCACCAGAAGAAGAACGAAAAGAATGACGATACAGATGAAAACTTCTAAAACGACCATACTCGCTGATTTGAAATAACTGGCTGATTAGATCTTAAGATTGCGTCTCATCAATAGTTGTTTACACATAAGAGGTTATCGGAAGGAAATCCCTTCAGCAACAAAAGGTCACCTTTATCTGCGCAAAACGATTGCCCTTTTGCACAATAGTGTACAAACTACAAAGTCTATCTTACATCGGCACCGATCAACAAAGTACGAATAAGCAGAGTTCAGCTTACGTTCATTGCAACTCAATACTGCATATTTTCGGTTTTCAATTGCACAAAATGTTTTAAATGAAAATGTTAAAGTGACACTGATGTTTTATGGAAGTGTGAAGTTGCTTCCGGAATTCGAGTCACTGATCCGGAACAGGATTTCCTAATCGAGTCTAGGCTTGCTGGGCTCGATTAAGGCAAGAATCGCCGAACCAGGCCAGGATCACTGAGCTAGACCAAGATTTGAAGGGCTGGTGAACAGTTGTCGCGATAAAGTAGAGGTATTGATAGGCGCATCGTGGGGAGGCAACCTGGGAAATTCTTGATCCATTCGGCAGCTGTTGGCCCGACCCGCTGGCCCAAACCTGGCAATTTCACGCTCCGTTTTTTGTGCAGTATATTTAACCGTCTCGACGAGTTTGCTCTGATTTTTTCAGACATTTGTACTTTTTTCAGATTATTTCTTTTTCCGAATATGTTATTGGAGAAATCAGCGACGTTGTTATGGTCGACGACGTCTCCTACTTTACATAAATGCATTCTTACAGGTTGGTATTATCCTATCTGATTCTAGCGAGATATTAATCGTGAGCTGTGAGGAACAGTTTACAATTATTTATGACTAGAACAATTCAGCTAGTGCCTTTGAACATTCGGTGACATTTTAAGCTAAAGAGATCGGATGCAATAAGTTTCGGGACATAAAACTTTGTGATGTTGAGAATTCATGCAATGCTTTTGGCACGTAAACATGGGACGTTCTGTCATGAAAATGAACATTTTTCAGTTCTTTTATCGTTAGTGAAACGGAATCTTTTTTCAGCATTTCGTTCAACATCTTCAACTGCTCGTAAAAGACGATTGGAAGCCTTCAATGCTGAACGTGAACAACAGCAACAAAAATATGGCGTTTCAATTGAGAAAGTTAGTCCTTTTCGAGTCAACTATATTTCAGCCGAAAAAATTAGTTGTGAATATTCGTAAAATTAGCTGAAGTTTCAAGTGTTTGAAGACTTGAGAGATTGAATTTTCCAGAGTTCATGAGATTTATTCAATCCGATGTTTAGCTACCATTTACAGGTGATCGTATCAGTTCAGCAAGAGGATCAAACCGAACGGCATTTGCTAATGAATGACCACTTATCAACTTTTCACGATTGTGCAAAACGTTCGTTTCAGCATCTTATTTTCCATATTATTTTTATTCTTCTTTCAATATTATTTTTTTAGATGTCAAATTTCCTTTCTGATGAAAACTTACATCTTTTCATAAACAATAGAATGACTCTGATTACATTTGGAGCATTCAATCGCGTGAAATGAAAGTGTGATTTCGCTTTCAGATATATCGCGTTTGAAAGTGGACAATACGGCTTTAGTTCATGTGACCAAAGAAAGTGATGCAAGCGAGTACTTCGCATCACCGCATACAACTGTCGACGGGAAATCAAAAATCAAACTTCTGAGCTTTAACACGGCTGATTACGCTGATCATGTTAACACGGTGGCGAAATTTGAAATTCTTTCTTGATACTTATAGTTAATAAGTGTATTTTCTTCAGATGCAAATTGTTTAATCGTTAGTTTTTCAAGGAAATGAATTCATATTCATTCCAGGCATATTGGCGTTCATGTGCGTTTTTATTAGGCGCTTTAGCCGAGACGTCGTTACGAGCGGATGTCTCCATTATTGGTGCTTTGCCCAGCAAGGGTATGTCGCTGTATTTTTAGCAAAGTTAATTTGACTGTTTATTTAAGATAGAATCGGGGTATTGTTTGAGTTTCGTCTGATATTTACCTTTTCCTCATATCAGATGAAACATACGTAAGGAAATGTTTGTGTCTGATGTTTTATCTTTGAAATTTCAGTGGAAAGTGGACGATTCATATATGCTACTTGTATTGACGAATTACACGATTGGAAACCTTCACAGGTAATTGTTTTCAGATAATAAAATGTTCATTCAGTTAGCTGCAACATTGTCTTCTTTCATG